GCCTAAAGTTTCCTGTAATGAAGGCAGAGGCGACTACTCTTTGCTGTTTAATTAACTCCACCTTCCACTGACTGCTTCCAGCGTCCTATCACAGGCGGGCGTTTTTATCATAAACAAAACAGCTTTATAATGGTGGGAAACTGAGTGCAAGCACAAGCTAGTCTTCTGTCATTACATCCCAAATTGCTCGGGTTAATTATATAAACAGAGTCAACAGAAACCGCCACGAAGTCCATTACGTCAGATTGCGTGCGCGTGAGGGGAAGCGCGAGAAGTATGGGCTGGAAGCTACCGTGCTATTAAAAGTTAGCTTGTTGTATAGAAACAGTCTTACTTTCATATGATACAAAAACACTTTTTAAAAAATCTAGTTTGGGGTGAATATGTTTATCTTTAAATAAGAGTAGCCAAATCCTTAAGCATGCCTCACGTTAACAAGCTACCTGGTATTTTAGTTTTGCTGCCCTTAAATATACCACTTGAAAACACGCTATTTCGGTCCAGGCCTTTTTTGGGGTTTCTACATTAATTCCTGTGTGGGACCGAAGCGTGTATGCTGGTTTAACGGCACGGCAGACGCAGTGTTAACGCTGCAAGGTCGAATTTTAAGGTAACTCACCGGACGGTTTATTTCACTGCTCTTTCGGACAAAGACATGGGGAAAAAATGTAGAAGAGCAGCCAGTGCTAAAGAAGACTACATACAGGTGAACTCAACAGTTACTCAGCACCCTTCGTTTTCCGGTCAACTCGTCTGTGGACGGCGTCACCGCCACTGTTGGCCGCCAGGCTTGAACCTCTGCGGTTATTTCATAATACTCTAACTGCCGCTTGCAAAAGCGACGAGACTCCTCTAGTGTCCAAGCCAGTCGTCCGACTCCATTGTGTACCCCGGCGACCTCTGAGCGCATGCGCAAACTAGGTACGAGTTGCTCCGGAAGCTCGTGTGTAGAAAGACGTCTTCTTACCTCACTTCACACTAAATTCAAATGTGATAGAAACAGCTTTGATAAAAACTCAGTTTAGGTATTTCTGAAAAGAAAACCTGTGTGGTTATTATCGAGTTATGAACGCCTTTTCAAATTGTTACTATGTTTGAAACATTTAAGTTCACAATCATATATACTACTTGCTTGCTTATGGTAGGCGTATGCAGGCAAATGTAATGTTTAAATGTAAAATTTAAAGTAAAAAAAACCTTCCTTTCTTTCTTTCTTACTTACTTTTTTCTTTCTTAAGCTTTTATTTTGAAGGCGTGATGAAGTAAAGCTCGCCCTGTTCCTGGAAGGAAGTGTTTCCCCTATGGGACTGTTTTGTTGCAATAATATGAATAGAACTTCCTTATAATTTCAGCGGTTGCGTTCCCTTGTACGCATTCTTCTTTCCTAAATCTACAAGGCAAACTTTTATAAGAAAAAAAAGGCGATTTTAAGGTAAGCAATACAGATTTCATATTACTGTGTCTTTACCTGTTCTGCAGAGATTGTTGGTATACGTCACGCTGAGTGATCGTGGTCAGCAGCAGCAGCAGCAGGGGCATCTTTCTTGTCTCGTGTTTTCAGATCCAGTTAAAAAAAACCCCGTATGTCTGATCAGAAACATATATGGAACAAAAATGTAGATCAAGCCACGAGAACAGTTTGAGTTTTATTTTGCCATCACCCCTGTACAGCAGTACAGCAGCAGGTAGGTCTATGCCACTCAGAGGACTGAAACATGTTAAAACATCAATGTGTGACCATGAAACACATTTCATCTTTGATATTTCTTCAGTTAGAAAACAAACAAACAAACAAACAAACAAAAGATCCACTGCTTACAGCAACTTGTCTGGATTATTTTTGAGAAACCATCTTGGTTTATTTTGAGGTAATCCAAGCTTGTCTGATTTGCAAGGGAGGCTCTGGGGTAAAAAAGTGAAGACTTGGTCCCTATTGAACAGCTGTTACTTTGCTGTCTGGGCATTGTATTGAAGCAGAGCACGGGTCTGGTATAGCTCCTTTTGGGGTTTTGATTTGATTAATTTTAACTTAAAGATACGAAATATAAAAGCTGAAACTGAAAAAAAGTGCAGAAAATACATAGGGTGATTCACTAGTTGTTTACATTTCACTGAGCTCTGGCCCTATCAGATTTATTATAATGGCAATTTGAAAATGAACACAGACGTGAATGTTTTACAGTGGCTCTTTAAATTGAGTTCACTTAAAACAGTCCCTTCCTTTAAAGGAAAGGTCTGTGAAATTATGGAGTAAAGCAGGTTTTGCAAGTTTTTGCACTTTTCCCACTGTAAGAAATCAAAGGTTTTAGTGTTTCTAAACTGCTGGGTTCTTGTCTTTGTTTAGATGGGATACATGACAGTAGAAGACCAGAGCTCCACCCTGCTCCACCTAAAGAGATCCCCGGGGATCCGTTCGTGGTCTCTTCTTGTTGGTAAGTTTGTTTTTTGTGCAAATGTTGTTCCCATACTCAAATATGACATGCGCTCTCACACTTCAGTGATGGAATATTCCCTTGAACTGCTCCAAAACCATAAGCCTCTTATTTTCACTGCAGGTATAGCATCTGTTGGCTTAACAGCTGCATATTACAGCTCAGGTATGCAAGCTAAAATTTATATGATATGTCATCTTAACTTCCAACACTTGAGTACAGCTTTCTTTTCTTTCCTTGTGTTGCGTCGATCCCGCAGACAGCATCCCGTGGAAGCTCTTCTACGTGGCCGGCTGTCTGTTTGTGGCCATGCAGAACATGGAGGAATGGGAGGAGGTTGTGTTTGATAAAACCAAGAACCTGATTGAGCTTAAGACTTTCAGTTTATACACTTTAGTCCTGACTCTGTGGAGGAAGGGCCAAGAAAAAGGTGAGTAAAACCACAGAGGGGGCTGGTCACTACAGCTCCATTAGTGAGCTGAGAGGCCACAGTAATGGATCTTACCATTGTGTTTTTTCTCTCCATCTCCCAGTTGTGCTGGATCTGGACCAGCTGTGCGATATCTGCGTACAGGAGGAAAGGGTGCGTTATTTGGGAACAGGTTATCTGCTGATGCTGAAGCTGGCTGCAGGCTTCTCCTACCCCCTCACTCAGAGTGCCACGCTCGGGGGACGCAGGTAGGTCACCGGCAGTTGACAGTTCAGCACAGGATCTGATTTAGTATGAAGTTGTTGCTAGATGAAAGATAAAATAGAGGTTTGATGTTTAGTTTTTCAGTATATTAACCCCATAAAATTAAAACTTGCAGTTAATACATGTTTAGCTACCAGTTTATTAGAGGGCTCGCAGCTAAAACACAACGACTGTATAAGAGATCCTTCCTGCATTGATTTATTTTGTGGCCAATCTAGAGGCTAGAATTTATGTTGCTGTTAAACTGTGCTGACTTCTACAGATAGATGTTTGTTATTCAGCCTGCCCTCATCAATAAATCAATCAATAGCTCTCTTACACAGTTCAAACAAAAACCAAAGAACACAGAATTGACTCCAAAACAGTTCTGTTAGATTTTAATTATTTTAGCTAAGAAACCACCAAGTAGATGTGTGTGCCAAGTGTTATATAAACATTAAATGAGTCGCCTGTCTTCACCGTTTAAATCAGTTCAAATCAGTTCAAATCAGTTCAAATCAGTTCAAATCAATTATATCTCTACAGCGCCAAATCACAACAATGGTTGCCTCAAGGCGCTTTATATTTTAAAGTAAAGACCCTATAATGACAGAGAAAACCCCGACAATCATATGACCCCCTATGAGCAGGCACTTGACGACAGTGGGAAGGAAAAACTCCTTTTTAACAGAAAGAAACCTGCAGCAGAACCAGGGTCAGCCATCTGCCACGTCCGGTTGGTGGTGAGGTGTGGGAGACAGGACAGAAAAGACACACTGTTTGCTTTCTGGTGTTCACTTTAAGATTGCTAACAGGAATTATTGTTGCATGCTAATTAGCTATCGAGACGTGATGGCTAATAATACCCTGCACAAAAAGTACCACAGCACTTTGATTACCACGATTTGAGATGAACATTTATTCATGAATACACTGTATTAATATTTGGATTTATTTGGATCTGTTTTCTGCACTCCGGTTACTCCTCAGTGATGTGGAGGCAGTGGCTGCTCTGCTCAAGCGCTTCCTGGCACTGGAGGAACTGCAGAAACGTCGGCAGCAGGAGTATGAGGCTGAGTACGGGGACGCAGAGGATGAAGATTCTCTAGACAATAACACCGACTCAGATGAAGCAGACAAGCTGTGATCTGTCTGAAGTGTAGTGTTACTCTAATGTAAGGGAGATTTAATTAGGGGCATTGCAGCAATGCAGAGGCATTACAGAGGGTGAGGTTTGTGCAAGGCCCTTAATATATAGCAAACTCTAAGCATGTGCATGCATGTGGAACAGCAGGGAAAATAACCCTTAGTTTCTACTTACAGTCTTCCTTGTTTGTATTTTTACTGGTAATACAACCATTCAGTTATATGTTGTCCTGCAAATGTTCACAATTTAAGAAATCTTGGAACAGACCTTTTTATTTCCCTTTTGTTACATTCTAAGTGGAGTCTTCTTTAAGCGAGTATTATTTCATCATCTTTGAGCTAATTACTGTTTGAGAGCACACTCCAGATTACAGATTTCCCGTGCCTTCCTACTGAATTTGAGTGCTTGTGTATGTGAGCCTCAGGAAAGTGCTTTTCCCACAGTTTTCTGGACCACCCCGCTCATAATTGTCTTTTTGCGTGTTTATTTGAACCCAGTAGACAATCCAGATGAATGCATGTGTAAACTGTAATTGAGCATGAAGGATCTTCTGAGCTTAGTCAAGAGTGAATTATGTGTCAAATGCTTTGACGTCATGCTTGTCTATCTTGTAACCTTTACCTGTTGTTGTTGTTGTTTTTTTAAGTGAACCAAAGACTGTATCTCAGGAAAAGACTTTTGTGCTTTTGTCAAACTTTGTCTCATTCCAAGTTCAAATGTGTGCTGCTTTAAGGGAATAAACACTTTGTTTTTTTTAAACTAGGGTTTGATTTTTATTGCCATTGTTACATGTAGCTCCATTTACATATAGCAGTTTACTCTCACATAAGCGTAGAACCCTATATAAAATCACTCCTTTGAACTTTAGTGCCAGTGTGTGGCAGAAATTAGGAAGGCTTTCTGTGAATTAATCAGCAATGTCAAAGACCGAAAAGTGATCCTATGGCACCATCTCCTTCAAACAGGCTGCAACATCCTCTGTTATCCTCTGAAGAGGAGCTGTTACAGGGCTGACGTGTTCCTCTATCCACTCCTGGACTGTTGAATCTGGGTAGAGACTGGCCATCTCCTCTCTCACTGCCTCCACCTTCTGCTGTAATGTAGCCAAATACCTGCAACGTGACCGGAAGAGAGTTTAAAGCCATACAGACTAAGGTTAAGACTTATCACGATGCTAGCTCACAGGCTGAGCTAAGTGCTAAAATGATTTAAATAACTGTTCTATTCTGCACATGCTTAGCACATATAAATGGAACCACAAAATATGAGTTTCATGGCAGCACTTACTTACAGGGGCCCTTTTTAACTATAGCCCGAAAACAAGTAACTTGTAGAGGTAAAACAAATTTTCTGTCTGTTTCCTTTGTGATTTCTGAAGAAGATATCAGTAAAGCAGATGTAGTTTCATCTCTAGGTTTTTCTCACAGAGCTGTAACTGCTGTAAAACATATTCGTTCTTGCATTAAAGACTTCAAGCCTATCTGGCACCACAGCAAGCTCCTTTTTGTACATGTTTTTCCCAACATCTGTTGCATTTATTATCAGGAAACTGGTGCCATTAAGCCAGTCCTGTTAGATTTTACGGGTAAAAGAGCATCATAAGGACATTAGAATTGCGTCACTTCATATCTTCTGAGCATCCCTTTGAGAATTTCAGGAAATAAAGACATTCTCTGTAGACTGGCTCTGGTAACTAGTTACCTAGAAAGGTGTGTTGCTACCACTGTCACACGAAATCATGTCAGACATGATCCCTCTATGGTTTATTGACAGCATAAAAGGTGCTCCAAACTTCTGGGTCTGAAAAGTGAAGCTATTGTGAAGTGCCCTAAACCTGAATTCTTCTCATTGGAGCGATCCCATTAGCTGCACAGAGTCTACGAAAAATCGCTCTTGGCTCTGACCTCAGCATACATGTAGGATTACAAAGTGCTTGTTGGCCAAACAGGGTCACACCGCTTCTTCATTTTGGCTTAGCTTTTGTTAAATATCATGACACATATATCATATAGTTTAATTGAGGTTCTAGTTGCCTAATTTTAAGGATTTTTAAATATATCCTGTACATGCTGTACTTTCTTTTTACTATGACTGCATATTCTGTGTATTTTTAATTTTCCACATTTTGGTAAAACATAAGGAAGGTGTGCTCACAGGGATGCTTGGTTGTGAATCTGCATGGTGATTAGCGGGGTAACAGTTTTCCTCTGCCGCTGGTATGGGCTAAACCATCCTCTCACAAACCTGCAGAAACACAAGCATACAGTTAAATCTCTACACTGGAAAAAAATAACTCTCGACAAATCTCTAATAAAAATTTATTTGGCACCTGTTAGCTTCACATTTCTAAATTATACATAGCGCTAATGTTAGCTTGTTAGCTAAAAGCGGGCTCTAACTAAAGTTAAATAAAAAAAAGATCAAACGAAGAATGAAAAAATTGTAGTATAACCTTTAAAGCTAATTGTCCAAAACCTAAAATGTAAAAATGAAATTTGTTTTACGATGGCTTCATATTTAGACTTCATTTTATAAACTTAGCAGCATAGCTTACATCACTGCTAACAGGTAGCCCGTGCACTATACCAAACACTATACCTAACATATCTGGCTGTCTTGTAGTAATTGCCAAAGTAGCAACACATATAAATATTTTTAATAACATTTTTAGAATGTTTTAAAATCTATCTAAAGACTTAATCCATTCCCACATCTCACTGAAACTGTTGTTCAATAACGACATGACTGACTAAATTTTAGTTCATGTTCGCAGCACACAAATATCCTTAATAAAGTGGTACACTGTGCACAAATCATAGATGCTAGCCTACAGACGTGAGGCTGAATTGGCATTCAATTCCATTTAAAATGAAATGTTATGATCATTTCCCATAACTTACATGCTGTTTTCAAAAAATCTTATATCTTCTGAATTGAGGAGTGCATTGAGCTCCACGATTAACTCAGCCAGCCTCCTTCCTGGGAACACTGTGTCAGCTACACATGTCCTGAGGACCGTGGGGAATAAAATCCTGTTAGCTTGGAGATGCATACATAGATACAGTGATGGTGTTGTTTATTACAACGGTGTTAAATCTCACATTCCCATGGTCTCCACCTCCACTGATGAGATCCCCAGCTTCCCGGTTACTTTGCTCTGGGCCTCAGCACTGAACTGTCCGTGAAGGAGAGTCTGGAGACAGACTGCTAGTGATGGAATAGCCACTGGGATCAGCTCACACAGCACTGACAGATGGTCATACCTGATGAAGGGTAAATGATGGCCCACATAAACATCTTATTTTCCTTTTACTCCGTGGAGAACGTCTTCTGCTTCTTACCTTTGCCAGCCTGTGATGGCAATACCCTTTATATTTACAGCAGGAGACAAAGAAGCAGCCACCTTCAGCCACTGCAGGTGATTATCCAGGTGTCTCTGCGTGCTGGTCACACAGGTGTAAACACTGGTGGAGCCTTTAAAGGAGCTGGCTGCCCAAAGATCTGCCATTCCGGCACTACAGTACTTCTCCAGCAGAGACACTGAAGAACATAGTTTGAGAATATTCAGTGTTTATTCTACTTACAAATGTAACTTAATGAATAAAGCGGATATATAGGTTGAATTTTTCCCAAGTCTTTAAAATGTAAAAATGGCCATTCAGAATTTCAACTTAAATTAGTAAAACAAGCTCAGTCAATTTAAGATAACATGTTGAATCATCATTAGGTCACATATTTTTGGTTGTATTTACTCTGTTCATTTTTACCCCTCATTGATATCAAGTTCTTAAAGCTTCTGCATTTGAAAACATTCTGTACTAGCAAAAAGAAAACTTACAGAAGGTGAATTATTAGCCTGAAGTCAATAGTTTTGCAGTGCACTGTTTGATAATGTACATCTGTGTACTTTACCTACCAGTTTGGGACACATCCAGGTTTGGGGTGTAGTCCCACAACATAGGCTGGACGAGTCCCACTAAACCACTGGCTTCCATATGGATTAAAAAAAACAGTAATTAAGAATGTTTTATCATAAATAAATACAAATCATTTATACTGTACAGTTTTAGCACAAGAGTCTGAAATGTTTTTTTGTACCAACTTTATTGCAAAGTGGTTTTAGACAGTATTTAGACCCGTACACGTACAAGAACTTCAAACTACCCTGAATATCACCTCACCTTTCAGTGTGTCCAGGCTCATGCCTCTCATCATATCATCCCACATTATGATGGTCATATGAGGCCACGCCTCCTTGACAGCCCTGGCCACCTTGGTCACATGACTTAAGAACAGTTGCTCCACTGTACGCCCAGGTGAAGCCAGCCACAACTTGGACTCCTCGCCCTCACCCAGCATGTACACCTTGAGGACGCGAAGACGAATGTAAGAGATTCAGTTATACATAAACAACTGGTTCCCCCCTGAAGACTGACCCCTCACCTCATCTGCTCCAATGTGGAGCGTGCTGAGCCCCGGATGCAACTCCACTACCTGCCTCAGCATCTCCATCACCACCTTCACCCCCTCCTCTCTGTGGGGGTTCAGGGTTCCCACGCAGTGTGCCACCTCTCTTAGGTGCCACATGGATCGGTGCTTTAACACAAACTATGACAGAGATGAGATGAGCGCAGGGGCGACACAGAACTCCCATCTTAAAATTGAGCCACATGCGACACACCTCACCTCCATGTGACCAAATGTCTGCACGAGTGGGATCACCTCCATCCCCTTGGATCTGGCGAATTCCTGCATAGACAGCACCTCATCTCGGCTGAAAGTACAGCACGCAAAAATCAGACAGTCTGATAAACCAAAGCATTTCTACAGCAAGTCTGCACTTAAAATATCTCTATCAAACACAGGGAGGGTTATGATTTTATTAGAGGATCTTTTATTGTGAAAAGAGATTAAAAATCCACACACAGTAAAAACTATTTAAGAAGCACTAGATCCCCAAACTGCACCTGTAAGCAGGTTGTGCTGTTGCCTGGAGCAGCTTCAGCTCCCCATCATAAGGAAACACATCCTCATACTCCACCAGCAGGCCATCCACTCCCAGTTCAGAGAAGAGCTCGATCAGCTGAGGATGTTAGCACACATGGGGAACTAAAAAGTGACAGAGCTGTAAATACTGTTCATGTTGCAGCAAGACCCGAGTGGAAGCTTACCCTGTGCAGGTATTCAACTCGTGGAGGAGCACCTTTTAAGTCCAGGTGCACCACTTTCTTCCCTTTAGGCCAAGGTGGACAGCTCATTCTGCATGCATACACAGAGCCCCACTCACTTGTACACTTTAATCACAGATGAAATGTTAATATTGTGGCGTAAGCCCGTTCTCTTACTGTTTACTATCAAAATGATGATAACAGCCGAGCTACCTACACTGTAGCCTAGCTATGTTGTTTTCGCAGCTATGCTCTGTAAGTGCAACTCAAAGAGACCCGAACGTGGTCCAATAGAAAAAAGGCTTTCCCTTCCCCGGAGCCAATAGGATTGGATTATACGGGGCAAGCAGGAAGTAGAGAGTTTCGGGAGCTTGTACAAGCTGTTGGCGGGGTGAGCGGTATGGTTTAGTGGAAGAAGGCAAGAGACTGCGGCCGTGTGTGATTGTATGCGTTTCTAAATGCTACGTAGTAGATGTTTTAAGGTGGAATGGCTCCAGTACGGCAAAGAAACGCGAAGGGTGCGAATGCAGCCGAGATAGAGAAGAAAATTAAAAGGTGAGCTTAAAAAAAACAAACAAAAAAACGTGCTAATGTGCTCACCTGTGCACAGCTGTACGGTGTGAAAGGGGAATGTGTGCCAGTCAGGTGCTGTCACCGTGTTTGACCGCGATGAAACGTCAGCTGGCTAAATGCTAAGCTAATGTTAAAATAACACAGGTATAGAGTGTTCAGGTGAACCAAATACTTATAAGTTGTGCTTTCCTGTACACAGTTTTCTCATAAGTGAATCAATAATATGCACATAATATTTGCATTTCACATAATTATGCAGTGACATATATTGACTGAGTATTAATGCCCGGTTCAACAATGATCCAGCCCCAACTAAAAACTTCGTCATTAAGCATGTATTATATGTATATGTACACTGCATATATGCTGCTTAAAAATAAATTAAGGAACACTTTGAAAATACATCACAACTCACTGGGGGGGAAAAATCATGTCATAACACTGATATGGACTGGGTAATTTGTTAGGAGTGAAAGGATGCCAGCTGTTTGATAGAAATGAAAATGATCAACCTACAGAGATCAAAGAAACCCCCAAAAATCTAAGTGGGGAAAAAACGCAGCAGGCTAGTTCACTTTGACAAAATTTCATTGCAGGAACACAAAATAGTACTCAGTAGTTTGTGTGGCCCCCCGTGCGCTTGTATGCATGCCTGAAATGGTCCTAATGACATGATGAATTGTAACCTGGGAGATCTCATTCCACATCTGGACCAGGGCATCGCTGAGCTCCTGCACAATCTGAGGTGTGAACTGGCAGCAAGGTTTGGACCGAAGATAACGTCCCAGAGGTGTTCTACTGGATTTAGATCAATAGACCTAAATCCCTCCATGGATTTTCCTCCTCAGACTGTCACTGACCCACCGGTCATTCTGAAAAACGTTACAGGCAGCGTAATGTTTTCCACGGCTTCACCAGAGTCTTTCATGGGCTCTGGGGGAACCTGCTCTCATCTGTGGGTTAAGGACCTTCTATGGCTCTGTCTAGAGTTCCTACCTGTCTCCATGCAATTTCCTTCATGCTCTTGAAGCTGTGTGGAATGCAAAACTAGTAAAAAAAAAAAAAAAAAAAAAAGCCAGAAAAGATAAGATGAGGAAAAATGTCAGTGGCCTCTACCTGTAAAACCTGTGGTTCCTCTAATGAACCAGTTGTAACTAATTAGTTTGTGTGGCCCCCCGTGCGCTTGTATGCATGCCTGAAATGGTCCTAATGACATGATGAATTGTAACCTGGGAGATCTCGTTCCACATCTGGACCAGGGCATCTAAGAAACATTTCTAAACTCAGGCTACTGGTGTCAAAGGCAGAACTTGAGATGATTATTCATGCTTTTATCTCTTCTCGTTTGGATTATTGTAACGGTCTTTTTACGTGTCTTAACAAATCAGCTCTGGATCGCCTTCAGTCTGTACAGAATGCAGCGGCAAGACTTTTAACTGGTACAAACAAGAGGTCACACATTACTCCAGTTTTGGCTTCTCTTCATTGGTTGCCTGTAAATTTTAGGGTTCATTTTAAAATTTTAGTTGTAACTTTTAGAGCTCTGCATGGTGAAGCTCCCCAGTATATCTCTGACCTGCTGAAACCTCATGCTTCATCCCGAGCACTTAGGTCTTCAGGTCAGAGGCTACTGGTGGTCCCACGTACTAGATTTAAAACACGTGGGGATCGGGCTTTTCAGGCACTGGCACCTAGGCTGTGGAACTCTCTGCCGTTGTCTTTACGCTGTCTAGACTCTACTGACTCCTTTAAAAAGCAGCTGAAGACATTTTTATACAAACGGGCTTTTAATTAATTTTAACTTGTATGTCTGATCTTATTGTAAAGCACTTTGTGATTTTTATCTGTGAAATGTGCTATATAAATAAATTTTACTTACTTACTTACTAATTAACTGACCAGATCAATATCCCAGAATTTTGATGTTATTAGTGTTATTTAGTTTCCACTGATAGATTTCACTACTTCAACTATTTGTTCATCAATTTAAATGGTAAATGGCCTGTATTTGTATAGCGCTTTACTTCGTCCCTAAGGACCCCAAAGCGCTTTACACATCCATTCATACACACATTCACACACTGGTGATGGCAAGCTACATTGTAGCCACAGCGCCCTGGGGCGCACTGACAGAGGCGAGGCTGCCGGACACTGGTGCCACCGGGCCCTCTGACCACCACAAGTAGGCAACGGGTCAAGTGTCTTGCCCAAGGACACAACGATTGAGACTGTCGGAGCCGGGGCTCAAACCGGCAACCTTCCGATTGCACGGCGAACTCCCAACTCTTGAGCCACGATCGCCCCAATTTAAGGCGGTTTTTCATTTATAGCCACATAATTATGTATTTCACTGTTATTTCAAGCTAATATTTCTTTAGCCATGACATTTAATGAAGAATGTCATTTGTTTTGAATTTGCTATGCAGTTTCTGTGCATTAGAAATGGAAACAAGTATGAAACAATACAATCTTGGATTTTCCTATCATACACACAAATGTGGGAATCTTTTTAGAAGTCAAATAATTACTCAGTACATTCCTCTAACTGTTACCTGAGAGAGAAATGGCTTTAGTTCATCTAAACATGTTATGGAAGTTCTCTCAGAATTCAACTTCAGCTAATTATCTGGAGCTTTTCTCTGTCTTGGTCAGAGGTAATGCGCTGAGGCAGGGATCGTCATGGCGGGGGTCCCGTTTGCTTGTGGCCTTGCTGCTGGTCGCTTTGTCTGCATGTGGGGCGGCAACGTGGCTGTACATGACCTCTTTGGACAGTGACGTCACAGAAACTCTGGTCAGCCAAGGGGAGCTGGTCGCACCTCAGCCCAGAGTGTACAGCGTCCAGTGCTCTGAAGACTATGACAACTACAAACGCTACCCAGGTAAGGCTCCTGTTCTTACTGCATAATGTCAGCTAATCAGCTGACACTCCTGTGCTGATTAAACATGGCAGGGTTGAGGCTCTGTCTAGTTAATGAATAACATTTTAATCCAGCAGCACATTTTTGGCTTTAAAATCAAACTGGAACTGTTATTATTAGTTTTTCACAATTGCTTTTTTTTAAATTTGTCAAATGGTTTGATTTTAAAGTTTCCTCCACTAGATGGCAGCATAGTACAGTATCTCTTGCACATCTCTTTACAAGGCTCTACAAAGCTACAGTGCGTAAGGTGAAACCCGAAATTTATGTACTTGTACCCAAATATGCTAATTGCGTCCATCGGTGTGTTTGTGGTTTGTATCGCTGCATCTGTGCTCAGGCCTTTATCACGGTAAAAAGAATACAGCTAAGAGTCAACATCCCCCTGTTTTGGAATGAGTAGCAGACTTTTTGGAAATCTGCTGCTGCTTGGATTGTGAGTAATGTGGCAATAAGTGATTTCTTTTATTACGTATAGCACTGATCACTCTATTAAAAAAGAATCTATTATGCTTTTTCTTTATTTTCTGGCATATATCTACTGTTATATGATGAAGTTAAAAACTTTTGTCAACATGTGTGTAAGTAATCCCTGTAAGCGAAAACTCGAAATGCTCCGTTTTAGAAAGTTTTTTTTTGTTTTCTTTTACGTTTTTCTTTGTATGATGTCAGTGGAAATCTGACCTATTCTAGTTTTTATTTTGACTTTCTTTTTAATTCAGTTTAGCTTCTAGAGTGGATTTTCTAGTTTCACTTCAGTATTTATTGTTGTAACCCTGCTGATTGGGCAGGCAGAGGACTCCTAAATTTGTGAAGGGGATAGCTGGAGAACGAGGTGACGGAAGAGCTTCAAATCGATACCAAGTTCGAATCTCAGCGACCTCAAGGTCAGAGGTCAAGTTTTGAGGGGTAGTACTGGCAGTTGCTAGTATTTTTTATGATTTTAAGTGTTAGTTTAGTGTTAAGTTTTAGTTTAGGTTTTATTATTAGTTTCAGTATTGTTTTTAAAAAAATGATTATTCTTCGTAGGGATGAGGAGGAGGAGCCTGATAATGTTTAATCTATTCTAGCAAAATAGTCAATCTAGCTGCTAAGCATTTCAGCAAATCAAATATCTTGACGGCAAATAATTCTGTCTGTTATTCCAAGAGTATAAGTTCAAAGACTTTCTATACATTTGCATTTTTTTTAAACAAACAATATTAAATAAAATGACAAAAGTCCATCTAACCTCATTAGGCAGTGCTCCGTTCCATCACTAAGGGTTTAGCAGTCATAGTCCAGGTTTCTTTGTGATATATATTACTGTCTTAATGATATACACTCAAACTGGGAGATACAGAGCCTGCTGTCCTGTCCAGTTGTGTACTAAAGTGGTACTGTACTGGTGTGTTGTAGAACAGAAGTTGAGCATATCATGTGCGACTTTTGAAGAACTGTTAATAATTTGCATTCCCAGAAGTCATGGATAATTGATCGAGGCTTGCATCTGTATTTGTTCTCTCTAAAACATGAGGGCTGCCCTCAGCTCAAACTGTGCCTCTCCAGTGCCTAAAGATAATGAAGTGAGAAGCTTTAAGCAAGAAATTATACCAGTCAAGAATCTGGAAGTAAGACTGGACATGTTTTGGCAGTACTGCTTTTATTATTACCCACTTTCCCTGTCTACTGACAATTATTTTTATGCTCCTGTTGTTTTTGAAAACCTCTCCTGGCCGTCCTCTCCTCAGGATGCACCCCTCAGAAGTGTGGCCGTGCTGTCACAGACGGAGTGGT